CCAACAGGCTGCAATATATACCAAGATGGTTGCAAGATAACCCATTAGACGAGTCCTGGTTAGATATAGAACAGACACTTTGCAATACGATAGAGCTTTCAGACTTACCATTTATTAGCCCAAGCATAAGAAAACATGAAAGCTTCAAAAGTATTAGTATCAGCACCTCTCTGACAGCATGGTGGGAGTATCTTAAAATGACAGAGTCTTCACTAGTACCATGCAGATGCACACCTATCTGGAACAATCCTGACATTTTGCAAAACAACAAAATGATGAACCTTCCGGACTGGAAAAATAAAGGAATCCTATACCTGGAACACATATATGAAGGATTGGACTTCATCCCATTTAATCAAATAGTCTTCCAATTTGGAATGGATAAGAAAAGCTTTTTAGAATATCACCAAATTAAATCTGTAGTCAAACAAAAATTTAAGCTCAATAAAATAGAATTACAAACACCACCAAGGGTATTAGACTTTTATAATCTCAAACCCCCCAAACTACTGTCTAAAGTATATAAGACACTGTCCAAAATAGACGATAAAATTGCAATCCCTATTGAAAAATGGGAGGTGGATCTATCAGTCAGCTTTGACCAGGACTTCTGGTCCCAAACTTGTTTAAAAACTTTTAAAATGATCGGACACCCCAATTTACAATTAATTCAGTACAAAATTCTACACAGAGTACACTATACAGGTCATCGGATGTTCAAGATGGGGTTTGTGTCGTCTGACACCTGTACACACTGCACAAACAACATTTCTGACAATTACATTCATGCACTGTGGTCCTGCCCACCTGTCCAGGAATTTTGGGGTAGAGTATGTGAGGATATGTCAAAATGTCTGAAATGTCATATCCCAACTTCCCCCTCTCTTTGTTTACTGGGACAGCTGCACGATGTCCCGATTGCAACATCTTTGGTTCACGTGGTTCTGACTGCCATATGCATCGCTAAGAAAACTATCCTCTTGAATTGGAAAAATAGAGAAAGTCTCTGCATTAACCAGTATAGAAATCTTTTGTTAGATCATATTGCACTTGATATAGCCTCTGCTTCCACTTCAGATGAATCTCTCTGGGCTCCTTTGATCGGTTCCATCACATAGCGAGGGTGGGGGGCCATTGATGTTGTCCTGCGGGATGGTGTGGGTGGGGGGGTGTGGGGTCTGAGTTTGGAGTATCCGGATGTTCCCTGGAGGTGGGTTCACTGGGGGTGTCTGGGACTGGGGGGCTGTTGCCCCCCTCTGGAGGTGCTTGGGTTGCCTCGGGGGGTGGACTGCTGGCGGTTGTGAGTGGGGCCCCTTGGGGATCTTGGCGGCGGCCATGGATCACTGCCTAGCGGCTGCAATACCCCTGGGCGGATCTGGGTGGGGGCCTGGGGGCTCGGGGTTTGGGGGTGGCCGGCCCCGTGTGGGGATCTGGGCGGGGCCTTGGGGGTCAGGTCCTGACATGTATGCTGCCGGGAAGAAGGCAGGAACACTCAGCAGTGCCTGGCCCGGGTTCGGGGGCATCAAGTAGACCTTGGCTCCTCTGCCGTTCCATCACAGGGGAGGGGGAGGTCCAGGACGGGGAGGACCAAACCTTACCTGGATGTCCCATGTCTTATATATTCTGGAAGTTGTGCAAATGCAGGGGTGGGCATAGATATTCTGATGGGATGGGGCTGGGTTGGTGCCCTCGGACTCCGTGAGGCTCTGTAATGCTGCTGCTTTGGGCCCTGGCAGGATGGGCTGGGGTCTCCATGCCCTGGGTGGCAGTTTGACAACAGAGGTGCCTATTGGGGCCAGTAGGGGAGCTGGCTCCCTGGAGGGCTAAGCCCAACCAGCCATTCCTCCCCATCCCCGCACATTTCTCTCCTCCTGCTCCCTCACATCATCACACAAACATACACATAGGACCTTGGGGGGTGGGCAAGTCAGGGAGTGCGGGTATGGACCCCATTTCCGCATTCCTGTGGCAACCTGCCCCCCAATTTTATTTGCACCTTATACACTTCCACTGACGACATTCCACACAAACACACACTTAGGGCCTTGGGAGTGAGCACATTCAACGGCATTTGGCAGGGGGATATTTCAGCCTCCTCCCGAGTGCCGGTGCCCACTTCCAATTTTAAACCGCACTTAGACACTGATGGCTGAGGGTGTAAGTGGGGTGGTGCGGTGGCATCAGCTGGCATATGCCGGATGATGCCCGCACTGCCCACTCACCACAGCCATGGAATACACCTCATGATCACACAACACTATATTGGAGCAGGTGGAGGGAGACTAGGGGTCTTAGCCACCTCTGTTGTTGCTAGGCTTCCTGGGGCTGGAGGCTAGGAGGGAGATCTGGCCGTCTGGTTGGGGTCTGGGGTGGTGGGTTGCTGTGCTCAGCGTTGGGCGGGGGAGCCTGCTCATCAGCACCCCAGCAGAAAGGGTCAAACTCTGGTTACCGGTGATGGTTGTACCCCATGTGCAGCAGTACCGGGACCAGAGTTAATAGGGTGTGTATGGGGAGCATGAGTGAGTGTCCGGCGTGCATTTTTGTAAGTCTTGGGTTGTATGTGCATGTGTGAGCATGAGGGAGGGAGTGTGTGACTGTGTTTGTGTATGACTGTATATGTCAGGTGGAGCCTTTGGGTCCTCCCCTCTCCTGGAACTTCTCTTGATGATATAGATCTTTGTCCCCCCTCCCCCTGCCACACCTGGTGTGGGGGCTTGTGCCATGGTCTGCCTGAGTGTTCGTGGCAACCGGGTCTGGGGGTTTAAGATTTTGGCATCTGCCTGATAGATCCCGGTGGCTGCCTGGTGGGGTCTGGGTCCCTGGGCTCTGCTGGGTCCCCGGCGGGGGTGGTCACCCCTGGGTCCCGGGTCGCTGGGTCCCGGGCTCGGCCGGCTAGGGGGTGGGAGGCTGTGGGCGGGCCTGTGGGCTTGCCGCTGATATCTCCAGGGACTCTGCCGGCTGCTGGTTGTGGCCCCCCGGGGCGATCCTCTGTGCCTCTCGAGGGGGGCGGGGGCCTTTCTGGTTGCAGTCTCCTTGGGGTTCCTGCATTCTGGGGCAACGCCTGGATCTCTGGGACTTGGAGCTCCCCCCGTCTCCTGCGCATCTTTGGGGGGCGGATCTGTGGTCCCTCACACTCTCTGTTGGACGCTCCTATAGAGAAACCTTAAATAAACAAGCGCGTGTACACACACAGGTGCTCACATGGTGCTCTCAAAAGTATGGGCTTGGGCACGTTCAACACATGTCTTTAGACTATGGGGGGCACTTAATGCATTGTGATTTATTATCGATTATCGTGATTCTTCAGTTAAGCAATGTTGATTATATGTGTATGTGTGTATATATATACATATATATATATATATATATATATATATATATATATATATATATATAGGTTTTTTTTGGGTTTTTTTTTCATCAAGTTGACGCAGTGATAGGTAGATCTTGTTGTATTGTTGTTGTGTCCCTTTTTTGTGTCCTTTTGTTTTTTTTGTCTTTTTCTGCAGGTTTAGAAGCAGACTCTTGTTCATTGTTTATTTTTGTGGAACCCCCCCCCCCCCTCCTCTCTCTCCACCTTTTCTCTTCCTTTCTCTTTCACCTCTGTCTCCATGTCTGGTCGGAATTACAAAGCATTCAACAACAATAACAATAAAGTTTTAAGTATCAGGCGTGACATTAAAAGCAAACGCTTTGATGCTCCACCTGAGAATAAATCTGTAAGGCTTATCACCAGCATTCAGACATCAATTCTGCTTGCTTCACAGCCAGACAGGACACGGTAAAAAAAAAAAAAAAAAAAAAAAAAAAAAAAGAAGCTCTGGTGTTTCTGGCAGGAGAACTTTGTGGGAGGAATTGGGGGGAGAATGGCAGGACTGGGATGCTTACTAATTAATATTCATGATATGCAAACATCTCTGATTGGCTAACAGCTGCCGCCTCTGTTTGCTCTTCTTTCTTGAGTAAAAAATGCAACTTTGATGTTTTATCTCCACAAGTAACACAGGACTGGAGGAGTTCTGCTGTGTGGTGGAGTTGCTAATGCTCACAGTTAGCTTCAACAAGTTGAAATGTCCTCTGCTGTTAACTGAACGCTGAACCAACAACAGCCTTCCCCTTCATGAGTGAAGCTGGGTGAGTCCATGAATGTTGATTTTCAGTGCAACGTAGATTGGAGTAGCTTTTTCTGACACGACTGTTTTCCCATCTTTTTTTTTTTTTTTTTTTTTTGGCTAATGGAGGACAAGGGGTAGAAGACTATTTTCACTTTCAAAATGCACATGGAACTCGATGTGAACGATCATATTGACGAAAGAATAAGTATTACACAGTTTCTCGTGACCTCTGTTTTAATCTAAACCTAATTAAGTCTGTGGAGGAGAGATTTAGACGTTCTGGGATCTTTAGCTACTAACTTTTGTTGAAATTGGGCGTGCCGTATCGTTCTTCTGAGACCTTTAGCACAATGACGGTTCTATTGAAATGATTTCATAAATCTGCAGGCCTGACCCTAATCAGACTAAGGTGTGGCTAGTGAAACAGAACACCACTTTCCAAATAAAGTGATAAATTCATGCTTTAACCAAGAGATAAATACTTTTTAACATGAAACCAGGCTGGTTTGCCTTTTCCCCACTCAAAAAATCAAAGTCTAGATTGCAATTTCCTTTTGCTTTGTCTGAACTGGATTTGTGTTTGCTTGTCTAAAATATTTAGAATTTACCAAAAATAAAAACAGTTAAGGCGGCGCGTGCTTGTTCACAGCAATAAGTTATAAGTTAGATTTGGGTTTGTCTTCATTTTACAAATCAGACTCTAAACTGCACATTCATAATCTCAGAGCCATTTACGTTAGCACCACACCAACCACACACACACACACACACACACACACACACACACACACACACACACACACCTTGGCTACAGTGCAAACTCATAAATGTTCAACTGCTGCAACACCAGCGCTCTCCAACCTCACTCCTCACACGTTCACTCACCAGATGGTTGTCGGTTCAGATCCTTCAATTTCCAGATAATCAGACTTCTCCTCCATCTGAAAGTCGGTGAACACCAGAGATATGGTGTCGCCCGGATCTGCCAGTATGGTCCACTTACACTCCCCGCTGCTGCCCAGGCCTCCAGCACCACCAGCTCCTCCGCCGGTGCCAGGGGAGTCACCGCCGGGGAAATCGAAGCTGGAGATGAGCCCGCTGGAGCCCCTCAGGGTGCCGCCACACGTGTCCTCCGCTGTCAGTCACAGAGGGGAAAACCAGAAACACGCACTCGGGTTATGTCAGACCTTTTACTCGGATGAGGGGGAAAAAGCCTGCAGGCATAAAACATCTGCAACTGTCTATTCAAATACCCACAGGCAAGCTGAGTGACAACAACCGTTTTGTTTGTTTCACATTAACACATTTGTCGAGATGCTGCATCTACATCAATTCAGAGAGCAAATACACAACCATATCTGAAAGAATTTTCTTTACAGCATGAGTCATTAAGCACATTGACGAGTGTCTGCTAACAGAAGAAATGATCAATTAACTAGTTGATTAACCAATTAATTGTGTGCTGAAGCTGTTTGATTTTTCCAGTGATAGTCGATAGGAGGTGAGACAGGTCCGAAGTGTGCCTTTTACCCCGCACATAATTGATCTGTTTCCTCAAAGCCTTGTCAAGCAACAAACAAAAGTGATAAACTCGGCTTATAATGCTTCAAAAATAAACACAAATCCAGCGTAGGAAGGTTGGCACATCAGGTGAATTTCAATGCATTCCACCTTAAAAGTGTCTCCTTTACTCCTATTCGCTTCTCACTTACTTCCCGCTCTCTTTACTGTAAGTCACCACTCTTCTGTCTATCCCTGCATTCTCTCCCTCTCTGAGGAATCCTAATGATGGCAGGGCTTTCACAGTTTTCACATCATTTAAGACTAATATGTGACACTCGGCTGTGCCAGCTAAAACCTTTGATGGCTCAGTGCTCCACTACTGACTGTCAGAGATGCCAGCCTTAACGTATTCCCATATGCTGCCTTAAATGACTGGTCAGGAAACACGGAAGTGGGTGGATGATACTGAAAGAATGATTTTTTTTTCTTAAATTGAGAGAAAACTGGGAGAAAATAGATGAGTGAGGCTACTAGTTGGCTTGATGCAAGTCTCTGACACATTAGCTGAAGTCTGACAATTGATCAAAGTCCTTATAGCCGAGGCAGAGATGGGATATTGATGCAGGGTGACACATTCATGATTGTGGCACATGTAAGGACAGATTTTCTCTCAGATTAAACCAAAGGCAAGCGCGGTGTAGGAGCATTAGCTGAATGTGGGCAGCCTATCCAACCTAAAAAGTAGAAGAAAAGAAATGAAAATAGTTCTATTATACAGCGTTTACCTTGAAGACTTAGCAAAGAGTGGCTTGGATTTGTGAAAGGTCATTTGTATCAACAGAGACTGAAATGTAGTTAAAACATTCAAAACTGTTGTGTTGCTGCTGCTTGTTGGTGACAGGAATGAAAAGTGAGATAAATATTTGTTTATATGAAAAAACAGAGTGATGGAAGCATTGGGATTTTGATCAAAGAGGCATTAAAGTTAAGATTTTAGTTTAATTCTCTTCCGGTCGTCCTCAAAGAACATTTCTGGGAACGATTATGAAAGAAAATTTGAAGCTTCGGTGGAAAAAATGAGTTTGCAAACAAACAAAAAGATTTGGCTGCTGGATAGAAAAACAAATCTTTTACCAGATAAATCCATTACTAGTTTACTGATGAATGCCATCGCTGGGTTAAATTCATCATTATTCAGAGTTTTCACTGTGTGTGTGTTACCATTGCTACTCTTAGGGGAATTTGTTTGTTTTTATTTGATTTATAAAATTTTAAAAACGGCAGCTTTAATACTAAGCTGTTCAGTGAGTTATTCATAATATTAAAATTCTTATGACTTTATCACTATTTACCTACCTAATAAACATCTAGGATCATTTTACTCATTGTGATCAGATTAATAAAAAATAGTGTTGCAACATTAAGAGCATGTTTGCTGTACAACTAATTAAATAATTTGTTGTAATTATATAAAATGTGTCAGAAAATATAACTTTATAATATTATTTTAGAAGAATATTGTTTAAATAACAGTTTTACTTTAAAGTGACAACGTTCTGTTTCATGTTTTCAAAGCATCAGCCTCTCTAGAACTAGAAAACATCTTTTATTGTGTTTCTGCATCTTTCTCTCTCTAACTGCTTTGTCTGATTGTTCCCATAAAAACAACATCTTACCAATAAGTGGAATAAAACTAAGAATTTTTAATTTTGGTTACAGATAAATGAATGTTGTAATGGTGATGTGGTGGAAAGAGTAAATGAAGTTAAATTTTTGGGGATTGTTTTGGGTCTTAAACTTAACGGGAACCTCATAAACTTATAACACAATAATTGTGTAAAAGTATCAGACTTCTAAATACAATTAACAAATATAAATAAAAAATGTTTTCTTGCTTCATATTTCAGCTAGCTCTTGTTTTATTTTTAAACCCAAGCCAAGAAATTCTTTATCTAAATCAAATACGTTGAAATTTAGGGACAACATGCATATTTGTACAACATAAATATAAACGTATGTGTGCACATGTACATGTTAAGAAAGTGAAAATTCTATTGGAACATATTGTGCATTGTGGCAGTTCCATGTTTCTGTACAAAACAAATGAATGAATTTATTTATTTTACTTAATTCTAATCTCAAACATTCTTACTGTAAATGCTCAGTCTACAAGTCTGAGAGTAAAGTGAGCAATGCTGATCGCCCAAAGGCCCATAAACTTTAAACTTTGATTTGCATCACTGAACCGCCCGGATTCTCTGGATGCATCTGTGCTGTAAGAAAAACCTGTGGTGCATCAGCTCAGGCTGCAGGCATCAAGGGAAGGCGTGCTCTTTGCCAATTCTGTCAAATATCAAAACACAGCAGATGCAGCGCTGTAGGTAGGCAAAATCACGTTTAGTCTTAAGGCTCACACTGAGTACAGCTTATGCTAATGGTTTAAACATATATGGATAAATATATATACATGTAGAAAAAAAACAATACCACAGTGGCAAAAAGTCAACACATACTCACGGCAAGCAGCGTTAAGCACAGTTTCTGCAAACGAGAACAAAAGATGCTAATCGTCCTCTGGTGTGTGTGCCGCCGATGATCATCTAATATTTCAGCACAAGATTTTCCAGAAGCAATAAAAAAAGCCCACAGCCACATTTATTAATAATGGCTTTACTTGTAAGTCATTAATGTGCCTACAGGTGCTGACAAATTGTAGGAAGGATCAAGAAGAAGCTTTGAAGGAATTCCTAATTATACAGAGGAAGCCGGGCAGGTTACCGGCTCCTTCGACGAGACGCACCCATGCATGGTTTTGTAAATCATGAGGTTCAAAGTACTGTCAGGTCGGTAGTGCAAAAGCGCTCAGCAGCTGTAAAAATGCACCATTCTCACTTGTTTCACTGACGAGCTTAGCGTCCAGAATCAGCAGATGAGGTCCAGAAATGGGCTGTAAGTGATGGGCATGCGTTCTCCTTGGCAAATCAGCAGAACATTTTCTGGATTTGAAAATGAAGACAAATCCATCTCTGTTTAAAGATGGTGTCAGAAAAAAGAAAAAAAGATGGTGTGAGGATTAGGACTGCTTTAGCTGAGCTCATTTACATCCCAGCGTCAGCGATCTAATGCTACTTGAGGACGGATTAAGCCTCTTTCCCCTTGACTTTGATCAGATATACAGCACTTGTCTTTCTGCTCTGAAATATTCACCCCAAGGATGGAGGGAAGGAACTAATGTATAATTTTCTATCCAACCTGTGGTTTTTCCCTCCCTAATAATCCCGGTGTTAATGTGAGGCAGTGACTCGGTCTATAGCAGGACTCTGCTACACGTCACGTTAAACATTGATGAGGCTGAGAAATGGAAGGAGGGCTGTAATGGGTGCAGCGATACGACTCACATGTTGCATCATGAATATTTCTGAGGGTCATTTGGAGACGGTGACCGTTTCTAGGTCATTTCAGGTTTTCAATCAAGGCTGAGTGGAAAAATAAAGTAATCTGAACAGAAATCTGGTAGCTGAACAATTGTGACTGATTTGTTTATTTATTAAATGGAATCTGTTGTAATGCTTCTCTTTGTGGCCGGTTTACGCAGACCGGTGAGGTCGGGCTGGGAATTAGGATGGTCTGGCCTTCATATTTTTTCCCTGCTTCACCCCCAACGCATGTCTTGTCGCCTAGCAACCACGATGGTAAAACTAAGTGGCTCTACATTAGGAAAGCAGGACCCGCCTTACAAGCTTGTTTATTAGTACGTTTCATATTTTTGACAAAAAATATAATTAATGAATAAATATCCAAATGAGAAAAACCTAACAACACAACCAACAATAATAATGTATTCATTTTTAAGTAAAGTCCCATTAGTGGTCACACTCTGGTGAAATTATTTCTCTGCATTTGAGCCGGTCTGGAGGAGCGGTGGGCTGCAGACACGAGGAGGCATCGGGTCCCATTTTAAAGTCTAATCCCAACGGTGGATTTGAACCCACGGTCTCCCAGTTTCAGGGTGGACGCTCGTACCACTAGGGCACTGAGCTACCACCACAGCTGTAATTCTCTCCGGATTACTGCGCCATTCCAATCTCCTGTTTGGCCCACAATGAAATCTGGGGCAGCCGTTTCCTGTGAGGAAACGCCAGGGCCATTCTTGAAATGAGGGGAAACGAAGACGCATTTTAGCATCTTTTAAATGTGGACGGCCTCGCTGACTCGCTGTGATGTAATCTTAAAAATCATACTGGTGAGGAGGCACATGGGCACTGCCATTATCTTATAATCAACAGAACTTTGCCCATCCATCCTTGATCATCTGTGTCCCTGTTACTATCTGAAGCCTATGAGAACAGTGCGGCCCTCTTCCACAAACCCAAAATCAGCTGTTTCAGTTCTAATAGAACAGAAAAGTTCAGCTGTTTTCATCCTGTAGGATGAGTGGGTGGTGTCCATATAGAGGTCCAAACTCTGAGTATGTTTAAGTGTAGCTGAAAACCTAAACATGTGTAACATGTGTGTTGAAGCAGAGTTAAAACCAAAACGTGCTAAATAGCCCTGCTGTAAAGGATCATTACAGCTCAGTCCTTTGTCTCCTGTGTTAATGAGGTGAAGTCTTGGCTAATGTCCAACTATCTACATCTGAATGAGGGAAAGACAGAGCTCATTGTTTTTCACCCCAACAGCAGGAATGTGGATCGTTATGCTGATCTTGGCCCTCTTTCTCCATACTCAAAACCAGTTGTTACCAGTTTGGGGGTGAAACTTGATGTAGGACTTAAATTTGATGCTCACATCAATTCTGTGATCCGGTCCAGTTTCTTTCACCTGAGACGCCTTGCTAAAATCAAGCATATGCTGTCGAGAGCCCACCTGGAGCGGGTACTGCATGCCTTTGTTATTTCTCGGCTTGACTACTGCAGCTCTCTCTACGCAGGGTTGTGTCAGTCAACACTGCGTCGCCTACAGGTTGTGCAGAACAGCGCTGCCAGGTTGCTGACTGGGACCAGGAAACGGGACCACATCAGTCCAGTTCTGGCCTCCCTGCACTGGCTTCCGATTTCCTATCGCTCACAATTCAAAATACTCGTCTTTGTTTATCATTTCTTCCAGGGTGGTGCTCCCCCCTATCTGGCCACACTCCTGAACAGACATTCCCCATCACGTGCTCTGCGCTCCTCTGACCAAGGCCTGCTCGCTGTCCCTCGGTCTAGGTGTCGTACCCGTGGGGACCGGGCTTTCTCAGTCCTAGCACCGTTACTCTGGAACCAGTTGCCACCCTCAGTTAGGCTGTCCCCTTCTCTGCCAGTCTTTAAGAATCACCTAAAAACACACCTCCTCTGCTTGGCATTTCCAGAACATGTTTGATTATGGCCCTCTTTTATGTTGAATCCATTCCACAGTTTTCATTGGTACACTCAATCCATCCACTCAATCCAATTGTGTCTCACACATTTGTATTTTACCAGAATGTTTCATCTATCTTGTAATTTCCATTTTGTATTTTGTAATTTGTATTTTGTAATTTGAATTTCTTTTATTGTTGATTTATTCAGTATAATTACTTACAACTGTACCATGTTCAGCGCTTTGGGCTTCCTGACAGGGTTGCGGAAGGCGCTTTATAAATAAAGCTTTGATTGATTGATTGATTGATTGATTGATTGATTGATTGATTAAAAACTCCAGTTTTTTCTTTGCTGAGTTGTTTAAAAAGAAAAATAATAAGTTATTTTTATTCTAGGAGAAAGGACGTCTGAAACCCAATTCCTAATTTTGTCTGGGACTCAGAATGGCCGCTTATTCAACCAGTCTCCTGTTACCATGCTGTCCCGTTTGTTGTCTTGTGCATTTTAATGAACGTCAAGAAACAATTTAGATCAAAAATGGGCTCCTGGGTGTGTGCTGTAACTCACAAAAGGCATTATTTCTCTACCTCTGTGGTCTTTTTCTCTCAGCTGTGGTTCTGTCTTGGTTTTTTGCTTTGACCATATTTTCTGTCTCACTGAATCTAAAGCTAACCACACAAAGGTTGGGTGCCACAAAAGTTTTTAATCATCCCTAATTTCTTTCCACTCTGCTATGAAGCAGCTTTCAAAGTGGTCCTGTTCAGTAGTCCTGCAGCCTCCTGAAGGTCTTTCAGAGTTTTTCTTTGGTCATGAGGGCTGAGTCTTGACTTTTGCAGAGCACTTTATCAATAAGATTTACAACTTTGTCACCTTTCAGAAAATCTGTGACGCACAAAAACCCGACTCCATCCACAAGCATCTATAAATACACTTTTCTGAGCTCTATTCAAAATAATTCTGTGTCACAACATATAATTACACAATCTGATCATTTAAAGTGCTCCAGGAGAAAAAAAACTAAGTCAAAGACAAAACCAGAACAAAAGACACTGACTGTGACCCACTGAGGGGTGGGGGACCGGAGGTGACTGATGGATGGGGACAGATTTGGGCTGTTGTGTGTTCATCCTAAATCCATTGGTGATGAGCAGAGGAGGAAGACTCTCCAAGGAAATAAGATCAAAGGACCATCTGCCCACATTCAGGAGACGGCCCAGATACCACTGAGATATTGTGCCTCATGCATTCTGGAGAAGTAGGGATGTTTCTGGCCTGTGGCAATGAGGCTGACTTAGTCCTCATGGAAGGGAACCATCCATCTGCAGCTTTCTGTTTTCTCCAGGCTTACAATTTCTAAAACACATGTACAGCACCTTTTTCTCTCCAGTTCGGAGTGTAACATAAACCAGCGTGGGCGAGTTTGCTCTACTGTCTGTGAAATGTCTTAAAACTAAACATTAAGTGGACTCCTTTTCTGTCTACCTGCTTTGTTAAAGGTGATTTAGCACTTTTGAAACCAGAACTTTAACTAACAATAAATTAATTTAATCACTTATTTAATAAAGGGCTGTTATTTCCTTCCATTAAAACAAAGAGCTGAACGATTAAAAGTCCAAAAGTGAGAAATTATTTTATTTTTTAGTCAGTAAATGATAGAAAATCTGTTAGTATGGCAGGAAGATGTCATCTCTCAGGACAGGACAACAAATAACAGCTAATCGGGTTAGATGGGAGGGAAATGATCTGAACATGGAAAATTATGTCATTGATCAAAATGGTGTCAGTTCGCCCAATATAACACAGATAACAGTTCAAAGGCAGTTTTGACTTGCTTTTAGCACCCCCTAGTGTCTGTTTAGTATATGCAAAACCTTAACGTATCTTCTCGTTGTGCGTTCGTCTTTTAACACCTGAATCTAACTGCTGAAACATCTCCCCAGCCTTTGTTAGTGTCTACAGGGGTGATTCATCACTAAAAAAAAAAAAAAAAAATCAACTGTTTATGATATAAAACATGCAGGAAATGTGCTGGAAGCAGGCTGCACTCTCAAGTTGCAAGTGCTGTATTCAGGATACAGAGAGCGGTGGGGTCTGCGTGGCATTTCATTAACCCTGTAAAGCAGAGCTATTCAACTCCAGGCCTCGATGGCCAGTATCCAGCATGTTTTGGTGGTTTCTCTGCTCCAACACACTTGATTCGGTGGTTGAATCACCTGTGCAGCAGCTCATCAGGCTCTACAGAAGCCTGTTAATCACCTACCAATTGAAATCATGTGTGTTGAAGCAGAGTTAAAACCAAAACGTGCTAAATAGCCCTGCTGTAAAGGATCATTTTAGCACATGGCTCGATGGTAAAAAATTAAAAACAACTGGTTTGTATTTGTAAAGCTCCATCTTAGGGTTCTACAGCCCCCCAAGGTGCTTCACAAAACAATCAGTCATCCGTCCATTCGCACACAGCTACAATGTAGCCACAGCTGCCCTGGGGCGCACTGATGGATGCAAGACCACCGATATCTGGTGCCACCGGTCCCTCCGACCACCAGCAGCAGACGGGTTAAGTGTCTTGCTCAAGGACACAACAGCAGCCTTCTGATTACTGGACAAGCCACTCTACCTCCTGAGCTACTCCTCTTTAAAAGTATTTTTCCTTTTTGCCAAAATTAATAAATAAATGTAAGACAGACACAACATCTAGTAGACCAATTCAACTCTGACCCTTGTGTTCTGACACAGTTTTGAAATTCTCATACAAAACATTCGCCTTTTCCTCTCAGCCCTGCCAAAGTCATCTGGTTTACTAGTCCCCTGTATGCTTCTGAGTTTGGAGAAAACCTCCTCCCCTTAAAGGACAGCTGACTTTGGGTCCCTTGAAGAGTCGAGATGATTATGAATCAGTTTGTTTAATTAGGAACTAACCTAAAGTTGCTTTCTCAGCGTTTGAATCCCCTGCGCGATGCCTAAACGACACCATGACTTCCAACTGATGGGAGAACAGATTACGCGGGTCAGTTATGAACAACAGGCCTCGTTTAACCACAGAAGAGATAAATTGCATGCTTTGGGGAGCACTAGTCTGTCATTCATCAAGCAGCTGTCAGAAACAAATGAGTATGGTTCTGTAGTGTCCTCTTCTCTCAGTCTATGTGACGATGGAGCAAAAGGGCTTGATGAGATGAATTACGTACGTACAACCTCTCTGAAGGCGTGAAGTTACGGACAGTACTACTTTGGAAAATGCTCAGAAGTTTCTGAATAGCAGATGATGCAAAAAAAAGGACAAATTATTTTGCTACATAGCTTGAGACATCTTTGTGATGTAAGCTGGTTCTTGTGTTATGCATGTATGCATGTGAGCTTCATTACACACCGACTCTACAGCATGAAAAGCTTTCCCATTTGGTGTATTACAGTTGAAATGAGAAGTTGTCAAATCTCCTCCTCCATATCCGTCAAGCTGTAGACCGCATACAGCTGGAAAACTGCTCATGGCGTTAACACACTTAAGCTAGTTGCTCCCCAGAGAGGAATATTTAATTAACCTTTTCAGCCATGGAAACTCTAATCATCATCTTCAACATAATTAAGATCACCCTATCCCATCAGACTGTAAATGTATTTATTGCTGTAATGAAGGGTTGTGTCACACTTTAGCACATGAAGTGCACAAATGTTCATTTATTGCTGCAGCCATCCGACTGTCAATCATTAACAGGCAATTAGCATTCCTGGTTTAACAGAAAAAGGTCAAAACAAACTCACTTCTAATGGGCCATTCCCATCTGTACCGGGTCGGCCCGGGCCGGGTAGCCCCAGTCGGCCCCAGCCTGGCCCGGTTGATTCCATACATCCTTGCCTTAAGCCCATGTGGGCTGATTCTACCCACCAATCAGAGACTTGCTCTAATGGAAGGTGTGAATTTGCTGTCAGCAGTGGGTGTGTTGGCCCTGGTCGGCCTGAAGCAGACCCCCTCGAGAAGAGGGCTGAGAATGAGCCTTGGTTGGCCCGGAAAAATACCAGGCCACCCAGATATGTAAACAACCTACGCTACCCGGCCCGGGCCGACCCGGTACAGATGGGAATGTCCCATAAGTTCCTGCAGGAACACTGCAGTAAAAATCAAATGAACTCAAATGAAACTTTTTCTCAGACATGGCTAACAAAATGAGTTACTAAAAAAAAATCCTCACCTCTGCAGATGGGCACTGGGAAGTCCCACACGGACACACCAGCAGAGGTGGTGACACAGGTGAGGAGCGAATGACCATCCAGGACGTAGCCTGTGACGCACCGGTAGCGAATCTTGTCACCCACATTGAACTGAGTCCCATTCAGGATGCCTTTGGGGGGAACTCCTGGGTTTCCACACGAGCTGCTTCTCAGTTCTACAAAAAAATTAATGAACACGAATATTAGCTCCTTTTATACCAGATGTTGTGAAAACTTGTTGGGCTTCCTTTTCAGTCTCTGGCATCGTAGGTCAGGTCCTACAAGTAATGAACAAGATGCAAATGCCAGGAAACATTAAATCTGTGTAAATTGTTTGGTTGAAACTCAACAGATGAACAGCTTTATTGTTGGGCGAAGACTCATATTAGTGCTATGTTAAAACTTGACTGACATCATCAATATGTAGCTTTAATCTGCAACAGAGTGCAGAGAAAACAAACAGATTATTAAAACATTAAAAGAAAACAGAAAGGTGGTTGAAACGCTGTGAGGAAGTTAAACACGGCTTCTGCCAGTGCTGTCGTTTGTCACCAATCATGTTCATAACCTTCATGAGCAGAATTTATGGCCACAGCTGAGAAGCGGAGAGAGGGTCCATCGGCTTTGAAATGCATATTTACTTCTTCAGAGATGGGTTAGGGTTCTGTTTGTTCCATCGAGCAAAGTGGATTTGGATGTGACTTTAGGCGAGGGTGAAGCTGGTGGTCAACATGAAGAGCAAGCAGAGGTCGTGGAAGTATACAAGTATCAGTCAGGAGTCAAAAACAAAAATAAAGTGTAGAAGGAATCAGCACACCTGCGAAACTCAACGTTTCCTCTAAAATCTACTGGGAAAGAATTTATTAGGACTCCTGAGGATTTACAAACGATTAAACACTCAATTAAAATATCTCTCCCAGTGAATCCCTACAGTTACGACCAAATGAGTAACTCGTTTACAAAAGATGTTTTCTGCTGTTTCTCTTTTTTATTTTCTGTGACAAAATAACTCAAAAACAAGTAGCCAGGAGAAAACAGTGAAAGTACTGCGATGTGAAAATGAAACATGAATACTTGGTTTATTCAGGAGAAACATGATCGTATTCTGCAGCAGATGCAGGTTTCCGGCTCTGACTGGTGTTCACCTGTAAAGGCATCTTCTGCCTGCGTGATGGCACATCGTTTCTCATCTGCTCTGCCGGACACCGTCACTTTGTGTTCAGTTAAAAGGATAAATAAAGTCTGGGCCTTCTTAGTCCCTTTGGTACTTCTGTTGCAACAAGTAACGCCCTGTCTGATTTTCAGATCATGGTGTTATTTTCGGAGCCCTGTCACCCAGTTATTGTGTAAAACACATTCAGATCTTTGGGAACTTTGATCCAGCTCGTATCCGTGGGTCCAATTAGATCAAAAACAGCTGTGTGTAGATTGTATGTAGACCTTTATAACACCACTACTGGTGGTGACAGCTGCACAATTAAAAAGCAGACTCGGTGTTTGTCATCAAAAAGAACTCCATGTCCTTATTTTTGTTCGTTTCTGAAGGACGCTGAACTAAGATGGACATGCTTCTAAGAAAAACACACTGACACTTTGTTCCTGCACGCTGTACTGAGGCCATCAGCTTGAAGCAAAAATGAAAGCAGAAAAAAGCGGTTCTTTCATGGCTTTTCGCCTAAAACGAGTTTTCAAGCAACACAAGAGAAAGAGGAAAATAAAAACAACTTGAAGTTTATTCTCCACTAAATGAAAGTGTGGATGTTGGGTTGGGGATCCACCAGAGACAGTTAATGCTGCTGTTTGTTTTTGCTAGTTGCTAACAGAATGTATATAAAAACAGATAAATGCTTTCAAATGAGTGTTCATATTTAGATTGGAGCTTACAATGAGAGCTACAAACCCACACTCATACGCTCTTACTCTCAGTCAGGCGTAAACAACAGCAGAAACCTGTTGCTGTCATGTCCCTGAGCAGAGGTGAGTTCCACCATCTCCTCTCATCAGAATCTGAGTTCATTCTCCGCAGGTGGGGAGCAGAGGGAACTAAAGCTGCAGACGATTCTCTAATCAGGAACGCGGGTTTAAAAGGAGGACAGAGACACTTCATTTCGCCGGATGATTGTACCAGTTCAGGTAGCACCAGCCACTCGCCTTGAAACTTATTAACTCGTGTTTTGACTCGCCTTCGACTTTTGGATTATTGACCTTGGACTGTATTTTCGGATTTGGATTTGGATTATCCCTTACACCTGTTTGTCTCGCTCAGGATCACCTCGTCATCTTCTCACCCTCGCTGTCTTCACTTCTGGATTATTCAACACGTCTCGTCCTCCTCCGCCGTTCCTACTCGGATTTCCCTCTGCTGCCTCACTCCTACGAAACCTCTCACCCTCTGCTCAGCGTCCTTCCCGGCTTCCCTTCCCCTCATCATTCGACCTGAACACCTCAAAGACTCACCCTCTGCTCAGCGTCCTTCCCGGCTTCCCTTCCCCTCATCATTCGACCTGAACACCTCAAAGACTCGAGCTGTCTTGGCTCCTCAGCACAGGACTTCCCTGTTTCAGTTTTCAGTTACCGTTTATAATAAAGACGTTTTTACTTTACTACTCTGGACTTGTGTGATGATTCTGCATGACTTGGGTTAGGCACTTACCTCGAGCCATGACAGTTGCACATCACCTCAGGGTTTCTAGGTTTTGTGTTTAGGCTCTTTATCCTGTTGGACATATGTTTTTTTTTATGTTTGTTTTTCTATGATATTGCTTTTTGAGTTTGCTGACTGGACTGGCTCTCCCCCCTATCTGTGGAACATTCCCAAATGCCAGTGGCGGTAACACAAGCCAAACGCAGAACTGATCCACAATGCCTCCTTTGATATGCTCATCAGCCATCGCATATGTTTGATGCACCTCTCAAATCAAGCAACGAAAGCAGGGAATACACTCAACTGGACCATATGGTGGATAGAGACACTGCTAGGGGAATCCTGGGAGCTTTAGCAACACTCCAACGTTCAGCCATGAACAGAAGCAGCAGGGAGGCCTAATGTGCTGCATGCCAGGATTTAACCATCAGGTGAATGTTGGGACTACTTTCTCCCCGTGGCATCTCCACCTTTTTAATGATTTAAAACCTCGGCAAATCTTGATCACCTGTAGAGGCTCTTACTGAGTTTATGGTGATGCCTCCTCCTTACAGTACTGGTTTTTCCTTCCATTTAGGACTTGTCCTCCACCGTTGTTGTTCATAATTGTTTCTACCTTTTTGGACGAAGGATGGAAAAAGTATCACACAAACTGTTAATCTAGGGTGGGTAAAAGTTTAAATGTGAAACCAAAGAAAGGAAAAAAATAGTCAGAAAATCAATCAGTGATGTCTTTGGGTCAATCCTTTAGGCTCGAGGTGTTAAAGGGACAAAGTGTCCCACAAAGCTCTTCCTTCATGCGCACACACACACACACACACACACACACACACACACACACACACACACACACACACAAATGAAACCTTTAATTTTATATTCTCTCTAAAATGCCTGAAAAACAAACAACCGCTAATTGTTTGAACACTTGCAGTCTCGTTTACTCCAGCCTATTCCCTTGTTGCTTGTTCCTCTTATAAAGCATTGTGTATTTATCACTCACCATCAAGTGTGCTGCATGTACAAGGAAACAGGTAAGTGACCATTCACAGCAACACACATGAAAAAGGTTCTAACAACGACCCTATTATATGTTTAAAGTGGGACACACCTGGATGGAGCTGCTATGGTCATATAACAGTATGAAAGGTTATTCTGTTAGCCCAAGTGTTAATATTTTATCTGTCATTCAAAAATGAACTAAAAATCAAATTTTTACCATTTTATTAACCATCAGGTGTCAGTTGTGCAACACAACATTTATTCATTTATTTTATTCCCTGCAACGAGATCTGCTTCTGTCAGAATGATGAGGATGAAAAAGTATGGCTTTAGCTAGAAGATCTATGGTTATACTACCTACAAATCAAGTACAGTGTCCTAATTTTTATTTAATTGATGAAAAAAACCACTTTATAAATAAATGATTTGTGCATTATTAGTTTTGTTTGGACGCTGTGGAGTTCACCTCAGGACAAGAGTTACCCCTCACTGTTCTCAAACACACCAACCACTGTGGGATTTCATTCAGTTTAAATATTTGCTGCCTAAAAGGAAATAACTGGTATTGAAACAGCTACATGATGCAACTAAAAACCAGTAACTCACCGTTAAAACGCTGATGCTTGAGCTTTAACGTTTTAGATGAATAACTTTCCCACTGTGGGTGTTCAGATCATATTTAGTTCTGCTTATGTTAGAGCTTTTGTTTGTACGGATCATTTAGCTTTGACCTGCATCGTGTCGTGCGCAGTCAGAGTTTTCATCACTGAGACGTCTCTGTGAGACTCTGCAGTGTCATTTAAAAAATCGTCTATTTTCTATCGGTGGCTAATGCAGGGAATAGGGGTGGATGTCTGTAAAATACAAAAACCGAAGAACACAAGTGAGGCCACATGTCTCCCTAACTAATCAGGTCAGTTTGCTCCCTGGGAAAACAGCAAGTGTGAACGGTGATGCAGATGAATCACAAACTGAAGGAGTGTTCAGTCAGAGAGCAATCTACCCATGCATTATCTGCCTTTCCACACAAATTTTATGTAATCTCTCCACAATATCTGCAAGGCTGCTGTTCCACCCACACGTGCTCGTTCCTCTCAGCAAATGCACGTTACACAATTGACTAAGAGTAGACTCTTTAACCTGGGGCTATGACGGGAGCTGACTGGAGCTCACCTGAGCATTTCCCACCTCTGTGAGTCAGACTGCTATTTCTGTAATTTCAGTCATGTTGAAAGTGAAATGAATCCAGACAGACATTCTCCTAATTGTGTTTATTATTTTAAATAAATGCAACTGATTTTTTAACTTTTTTAAAAATATGAACAAACATCGAATCCACGGATCCCCCCGGACCCAAAAAGATGTCCTCACTTTGTAGGAAAAATTGTCTAAATGGTCCTCAGTATGCAGTAAGTACAAGAAGACACACACACACACACACACACACACACACACACACACACACACACACACACACACACACACACACACACACACGCATGAGATGAATAAATACAGAAAAGATGGAGT